GGGGCGTGGCCGGGCAGAGCCCCACCCACGCAGTGTCTGGGGGCGTGGCCGGGCAGAGCCCCACCCACGCAGTGTCTGGGGGCGTGGCCGGGCAGAGCCCCACCCACGCAGTGTCTGGGGGCGTGGCCGGGCAGAGCCCCACCCACGCAGTGTCTGGGGGCGTGGCCGGGCAGAGCCCCACCCACGCAGTGTCTGGGGGCGTGGCCGGGCAGAGCCCCACCCACGCAGTGTCTGGGGGCGTGGCCGGGCAGAGCCCCACCCACGCAGTGTCTGGGGGCGTGGCCGGGCAGAGCCCCACCCACGCAGTGTCTGGGGGCGTGGCCGGGCAGAGCCCCACCCACGCAGTGTCTGGGGGCGTGGCTGGACAGAACCCACCCAGGCAGTGTCTGGGGGCGTGGCTGGACGCAGCCCCACCCATGCTGTGCCCGGGGGCGTGGCTGGACAGAGCCCCACGGACGGGCCACCTCTATTTTGCTCTAAGGAACCAGATCCTCGGAGGCCAAGGTTGGGGGCCGCTGTGGGTGACGCCCGCGGCTTCCCCTCGGGTCCGGGACCCCCTCCCCCTTCCCGCTTCACTCGACGGCCGGAGGTCAGGAAGGGAGGCCACGCGGCGGGCCGACCCCAGCCAAACACGGACCCTGAGGTCCAACCTCGAGGCCGCGCCCCACCCGCGGCGCCTACTTCTTGTGCGCGTGGAAGGCGGCGTAGGTGAAGCTCTTGCCCTGGTACTCGCGGAAGAACTTGCTGTCGCCCATGCGCACGTGGTACACCTCGTTGCCCGAGCAGCGCCCGTACATGCGCTGCCACTGCTCCGGGGACTCCTGGCCCTCCCTGCGGGGGGGTCCCGGTGAGCGGCCCGCCCGGCCCAGCTCCTGCCCGGCGGGGCCGACCCCGGTCTGGCTGAGCCTGGGGGCGGGGCGCCGAGGGGTCCCTTGGCAGTTTTAAAATGCCACGAACGGCTCAGCCCGGCCGGGCCCATCGCCCGGGGATCCGGGAACCGGGGTCCATTCCCGTCGGGGCGCGGCCCGGGTTGCGGGCTCCTTGACCCCCAGTAGGGGGCGCGCAGGAGGCGGCCCAGCCATGACTCTCATCACTGATGTTTCTCTCTCCCCCTCCCCCTTCCTCTGTCTGACATCAATACAGACATCACAAAATAAAATGCCATAAACACAAGGGTCTGATTTTAGGGGGCACCAAAATGTCTTGGGGCCAAGGCTGGCCTCCATGGCCTGTGGGTCCTCCTGGTCCAGTGTCCACCTCACCTGCCTCGGTCCTGCCCCAGGGCTGCACAGGTCCCACAAGGAGCCCAGGGCCTCTGTCCAGGGGACCCCAGCCTTGTCTTCCCAAAGAAAGGACAGCACCCGGCTCTGTCCCAGGGCTCTGCCCGGGTCCCCCCACCCAGGTACTGTGAACCAAACGCACCTTTCCCTCCGAAACCAAGCCCCACCAGCCAGTGCTGGCTCCAAGACATGGCTCTCCTGGCCACCGCTCTCCCTTACATCCAGTGGACCCTGCTTACAGTTCCCAGCAGCCCAGGCCACCCCCACCTGGCTGCTCAGGGTCCCCAGCACCTGCTTCCTGGGGGGGCCTAGCATCCTCAGCTGGGTCCATACTTGTGATCTCCACCCCCCCCAGCATCCCCCTCCCTGGGCGAGACCTTTGCCCCCTCCACATGCCCCTCTCCATCACAGGTCTCGTCACCCGTCTCCCTGGTGTGGTGCAGGGTGGGCGGCACTCACTGGCCGCGGGACGTGTGCACCAGCAGGGTGATGAGCGTGGACGTGGCCGGGCAGATGCAGTTCAGGGCCAGCATGGCATACTTGCACTCCTCCTCACACACCACGTGGTCTGCAGGCAGGGAGGCCAGTGGCTGTCCTCAGGCAGACGCCCCTCAGCCCCCTCGTGCCCAGCTCGGGCATGCCCATGAGGTGCTTAGTAGATGCACCTGCCCTCCCCTGCCCTGGGCTCTTGCCCTCACTGACCCTCAGCCCCCTGGTGCAGGACCAGTGTCTGCAACAGCTGGACATGCATGGGGTCCCCCTCCACCTGTCTTTGGTGAGGGTGGCATGCCAGCCATCCCCCAGCCTCGGCTCTGCGTGCTCCTGGGCCCGTGGTGCTCCAGCCCCCCAATCCTGGGAGGGGCACATGCACCTGTGTGCACACATGGCCCCCAGAAGTATGTACCTGCAAACTTGACATGAAACTTGTTCTCGGGCTTGAGGATCTGCACATAAAGGGGGCAGTTGGGGGCAAAGTCCTTCACGGCCCAGGCTCGGAGGATGGTCTGGTGGTCCTGGGGGTGGGGAGGGCGTGGTCAGTGCTGGGGCGGCAGCAGAGTGGGCCCCGGGGTGGGGGCCTGTGGCACTCACTGCTGCTGTGCGGTCCACCTCGTTTCGGCTGCTAAGGATGAAGCAGGCTTCCCCATTGTCCATCCTGCAAAGCACAGATCTGAGCGAGGCCTGGACCCGGCCACAATTCCAGCTGGGCCATCAGGAGCTGGGGGCAGAGGCTGAAGGGGTGGGTCCCGTCAAGACCCCACCTCTCTGTGCTAACAACCTGCTGTCAGGGCACTGACCACGGTGGGGGGCATATGTCCCCATTAATTCAGGTGGGACACGTTCTGGAAAGTTCCATCTAAGGACTCAGTCTTCTTACCTCAAGTCACCTGTCAGCTTATCTTTAAAAGAAACCCGCCCACAGTGCATCATCCCCCAGGCACGTAGTGATGCCCCGTCCCCCTCCTCTGAGCCCCTCCTAGAACCTGGGGAAGACCCTCCCCCCAGACGCCAGCACACAGAGATGGGCCTCCTTGTGGGGGGGATTCCGGCCTCCTGGCTGCTCGCTCACTTGGCTCGCATGAGGTCCTGGTCCTTGAGTGCGGAGCCCTGGAGGTAGATGACCCGCTGGGACCACAGGGGGATCTGCAGGACCCTGCGGACCTGGATGTCCATCTCAGTCGGGCACAAGATGACCACATAATAGTCCTGCAGCCAGGGCATGGGAGTGGGGGTCACACAGGCAGCCTCTGGGACCCCTGACCCATCCCAAGGTGTGGGGGACCACCTGGGAAGGGCGGGCTGTGGGTGGAGCTGCACCTGGAGCCGGGGGTGGGCGTAGAACTCGTTCAGGAAGTCCATGAGCAGATCGATCTTGAGGGAGCTGACACACAGGATCACGTGTTTCTCCGTCTGGGCCCGGTGGCGGCTGTAGTTGCCCCCCGACTTCTGTCGCTCCATCCACAGGTATACGAGCTCCTCAAACTGTGGTGGGTAAGAGCAGGTGAGCACCAGGTGGCCTGGACTTGGGGCTTTGAGGGCCCCGGTGAGACACCTGGGGCCCAGCTGTGGGGTGATGGTGACATCAGAGCGGGGCCTTTCCCTGTGGGAACAGCAGATGGGGGAGCCCCAGACAGCAGAGTGGGGTGGCAGCTGGCAGTTCATGTGGGATGAGGGGACAAGGGGAGGAGGGCAGAGGCCTGGAGACCCGAGGAGGCCAGGCAAGGATGGAGTTGTGTCCTGACCACCCTGTGTCTGGGAACCGAGGGTGTGCATGGCACTGGGCCATGTGGGGGCCACGGAGAGACAGGGTGGATATCGCAGTTGGCTCATGGGGTAGTGAGAGACACAGCACACCCAGCTCCCAGCTCCAGAAGCCAAGTGGCCATTAGTGGATATCAAAGTCTGCACTCGGGACACCCAGGAATAATTTACGAGACGCTGGGCTTCCATCAGCACCTGAGACCCATTGTGGAGAAACGTGAAAGTGTGTTAGGAAATCTTAGCCACAAAATTAAGAATCCAGCCTCCTGCATGGAAGGGACACTTTCAGGACCCATGGTTACGAGCCCATGTCAGGCAGGTGGGCGATTCAAGGCTGCAGGTCTGGGGACACCATCCACCTGGCCCATGCCTCCTGGATGTGAGCTTTGGGTGCTGACAGTCATTTCAAATTAGGAAAATGACAGGTAGGTAAATGTGCACAAAGCGGCCCTGCCAGCGTCGCTAGGCTGAGTTTCGTCCCGTGCACCGAAAGGTCCTGGATCTGAGTCTCCGTCAGGGCACACACCAGGGTTGCGGGTTCCCTCCCTGGTTGGGGTGTGTATGGAAGGCAACCGGTCAATGTTTCTCTCCCATGTCAATGTCTCTCTCTCTCTCCCTCTCCCTTCCTCTAAGATCAATAAAAAAGCACATGCTTGGGTGAGGATTTTTTTTAAAAAGGTGCCTGGCGGAGCTGTCCAGGGCCCAGCCCATCCTGGGCTTCGTAGCTACCAGACACCTGCCGCCCACGGAGTGTCCACGGGAAGGGCCAGCGCTCCCGCTCCTGCCCTGTGTGGCCCAGCCTCGCCCGCCCTCCCACAGACAGGGCGGGCTCACCTGCAGCGGGAGCACCACGAGGGCCACGCAGATCATGACAACCACGAGCAGTTGGGATGGCCAGATCTTGGGCGTCACGTCGCCATAGCCCACGGTGGAGAAGGTGACGATGCAGAAGTAGAACGATGTCAGCAGGGACAGGCTCTCGCCCGCTCGCTCCAGGTGCTGGATGCCGCAGGTCCTGTGAGCCCGGGGGTCAGGGCTGCGGGGCCTGGCCGCCTCTGAGCCCCGGGGCAAAGCTCTGCCTGCCCATGGGACCTCCGTCACCCAGAGACTCGGTGGTATGTCACTGGGTCACCTAGGACCCAGGGCCGACCTGGGTGCCCCAGCCCCCCACAACCCAACACCTGGGCCAGCTCAGCCAGTGCTCCCCACGGAGCTGCACACCCAGCATGGAGGGCTCCCCCGGGGCTGCCCCCTCCTGCCTGGTGGCCATTCCGAGGCCCCTGAACAGTTTGCCGGGAGTGTGGATATGAACACAGCTGCACGGGTGGAGTGTGGGCCTGGGGGTCGGGGGAAGCGGTGTGGCCCCCAGGCTGGGAGCCCCACAGGCCACCCCACCTTTCAAGGCCCGGTCCTCACCCAGGAGGTCAGGCAGGCTGTGAGGTGCCCAGGCCCCCTGGGGCACAGAGCTGGACGGCCCTTCACATGCCCACCCCCAAGGCCCGTCTGCACACCAGGAGGTGCTGATGGCAGGGCCCAGGGACCACAGCACACACCATGGGGATCACGCAGTGTGGCTCAGGGATCCCCCACCCCACTGGGGTACACGGTGGACCGGGTGCTGGGAGGGAGTGGGTGAATCTGCCCTGTGGACACCCTGTCCTCTCCACTGAGGTCTGTGTGTATTGGGGGTTAAGCAAGAGGAGATGGGAAGTGCGCCGCCCCCCAGGGCCTCGATGCCCCCTTGACCTTGCTGGGAAGACAGGAGGCGGGGACCAGCTTCACCAGTACAGGCAGGGTAAGTGCCCTGGCAGTTCCATGGGCAGATGCGGGGCGCCGGGCTCCCCATCTTGTACTCTGGCTGCTCCCAGACCTCGCTCTCACTTAAACTTGAAGCCAGAGGGTCCCCACCTGGCCAGAAGCCAGTCCCCGGCCACGGAGCCACCACCCGAGGTACTGTCCAGGGAGCTAGACCGTGTCTTCCGGACCCCAGAGGAGCCTGGGGACAGGGCTCTGAGCTGCCTCCGGCCATCAGCCCCCCTGAGGCCTTGTGACTTCTCGGTCCGGGGCCTGGCTCTGCCCTGGAGCGGGGCCTCCCAGGGGCATGACTCACCCCGTGAAGACCAGGCACAGCAGGGTGCAGAACAGGATCAGGACCTGGTTGAACATGGCCGACTGCGTCCGCAGGATGGCCCGGTGGAAGTCGTTCTGCGGGACAGGGCGTCAGTGGCAGAGGCTGGGAGCCCTGTGGAGCCCAGGGCCCTCCCCCGGCTGGGGGTGGGGAGTAGGGGCCGAGGGCACAGGATTGGAGGCCCTGGCACAGTTAGCATGGGGGTGAGCCCAGGGCCGTGAGCCCAGGGCCTGGTGTGAAGGGGCAGAAGGACGCAGTCCTGGCCGCCTGCCGACATTTCTGCCACATGGCTGGACTCACACACTCAGCAGAGGGTCTGCCCGTGGCCTGTTTGTTGCGGCCTGGGCCGCGTGGTCCTGGGTCCAGGGGTCCCTGTTCCTATGGCCCCACCCTGCCCTC